CAACAATAGTGAATGTAAAGGGAAATACTCTATCTTGTTTAAGTCTATCTGGTTTTAGAGTAAATATGACTGGCTTAGGAGGCAGATTTCTATTATTCCTGTAATAAGGAGGTTTATTCCTAACTAGTGAATTCTAGAAACCGAGGTAGCAGAAGATGTTGAATTTCTCAATGTAAACGTTACCCTCTGGAAGCGATTTTCAAGTGGAGTGCTACAAGAATTTTTAAAACATGCCATGCCTATTTAGCCAGGGGCACTGATATGTTTTCCCTTAGGTTGTCAAATTTAAAAATAACAATAGCCAACACAAAATAGCCAACAGTTTTGAATGTATCAAAATTATACCTCCTTCTGCCCTGGCCAGCATTGCTCAGTGGTTGGAATGTCAGCCCATGCACTGAAGAGTCATGGGTTTGATTCCTACTCAAGGGGCGTGTACCTGGTTTGCAGGTTCTATATCCAGCCCCAGATGGGGCACATGTAGGGGGAAACCAATAATGTGTCTCTCTCACATTATTGTTTTCCCTCTCTCCCTCCCACACTCTCTAAAAAAATAACTCACATAAATGAATGAGGATTAACAACAACAAAGGTATACCTATTTTTGTGTGAAGTCAGCAAACATTATAAAATAGTTCTGGTGTTCTGCAGAATTTTAATAATGAGTTTGTGTGCCATGAAATGAAAAAAGGTTGAAAATCGCTGCCCTAGGGAGGTGGAAGTTAGTTAAAATGATGCTTACGATTTTCAATTTTCCTTAAAAATACGGGAAAACACTTTGTAAGAAGCACCCAGGACTCTTTAGATGACAAACTATGAAATTAAGGAAAAAGGGATACCCTCCAAGGCGCCTTGTTCTGCCCTAGTTATTTGTTTAGCAGCAGCAAGAAGCGATTACGTGCATTTTGTTCTGTTAAAGAAACCTTTAAATTGCTGCAGTTTCCAAAGGGTCACTTGAGCAGAATCGGGTCATTTGCAGGACAGTGCGTGATTATTCAAAACCAATCTGAAAAGGAAAGATGAGACTTTGTAGATCCACAAATGGTTTCACCAAGGAGTCATTTTGCTGATATATATATATTTATTTCCTTTTAAAAGGTAGGAATAGTACTTCAGCAGTTGAGAACATGGATTTTAGAGCTTCCATAACATCCCTACTATTTTCATAATTTAATAGGTCCATTTTACTGATCCCTTTGGTGCTTTAATAAAGGCATGGATAATTAGCTATTCTGGATCTTGCATTTAACGATTCATATATTTTACTTCAAAAAAATTTTGTGAGTATAAATACACACGCATACATTAAACCCCTTCCCCGGCAGAAACGTGTATACTCGTTTTCACAAAATGTTCTTTTTCAGTCGTCGACGAGTATACTAAGAAAATATGCTAAAAAAATATGGTTTATAGGAAGACGAGTTACAAACTGTTTTCATAACCAGCATCAAAAATACTATATAGAACCAAAATAAAAAAATTAGTCTGAAAAAGAAACGTTTTTAACAAAAAAATTGTTGGGGAAGGGGTTAACATAAATTATATCCTAAATTATTTATTCATGAATTTTTCTCTTATTTATATACTAGGGGCCCGGTGCACAAAATTCGTGCACTGGGTGGGGAGGGGGAGTGTCCCTCAGCCCAGCCTGCCCCCTCTCACATACTGGTAGCCTTCGGGTGTTGACCCCCATCACCCTCCGATCACAGGATCGGCCCCTTGCCCAGGCCTGACGCCTCTACCAGAGGAGTCAGGCCTGGGCAGGGGACCCTCATCTCCTGCCATCACTGGTTCTGCCCCCAACCCAGGCCTGATGCCGCTGGCCCAGGAATCAGGCCTGGGCAGGGGCGGAGCCTGCAACCGCGGGGAGCTGGGAGTCCCCTGCCCAGGCCTAACACCTCTGGCCAAGGCATCAGGCCCAGGCAGTGGGTACCCGCAGTGGCAATGGCGGTGCGATCACGCGGGCTCTGCCCCTGCCCCCACAGGATGCCTCTGGCTGAGGTGTCCGGCCTGGGTAGCGGGGACCGCAGCTGCAGTGGCCCCGCGATCACAGGCTTCTCTTTAGGCCCAGTGAAGGGACCCCTAGCTCCCAGGACTGCCAGCTTCGACCGTGCCCAGCTCCCATCACTGACTCCACCCCTACTTCCTGCTATCACTGGCCAGGGCGGCAAAGGGGCCCGATTCTCCA